GTTATGGTGTTGATGAGTTCCATTGTGCCACCATACAGAGTAAGATTTCCAAATATAACTCTCATCATATGCTAATTTACCAAGTTCAACATTTTATATTTGATAATGGAAATCCAAACTAGTCCTGATTCACGGTGTTGATGAGCTCATTTGTGCCACCATCCTTATCTAATTTGAGTAATTTCATACTGGCCCAATTTTTTTACCATATACAGTCAGAATTCCAAATTTTTTTTAGTCATACTGTTGGAAATCCAACCTCATTAGCTGGTATGTGGCAAGATAAACTAGGCCATATTTTATTTTAGCAGCTATAACTGCCTGGATTTCCAGGAATTTTTTTTCTATACTCGTCTGGAATTCTGTTTCTGAATTTCCAGATTCTGATTCTCCATATACAGTTGGAATTCTGGGGTATTTTCCCAATCATACAGTGCTGAAAATCCAACCACATCAACATGGGGGTGCAGATATAAACTGGAATGGCCCAATACATGGAAGGTACCATGGTCAATACTCATTATGAATACGTTCGCGTGTCGCAAGTTTTCGACAATGAGCTCAGTTTATCTTTCGAAAACAACTAATTTCTTGATTTAAAAAAAAAGTCATGTTGTTTTCCAAGCCAAAAGATCGCACTACATTATCGGTATAAATCCCTTCCGGGTTGCGTTCACCATGAAGATGGTGACCTGTCATTAACATATTTAAATGAACTAAGGTAATTTGAACACGTGGGCACCATCCAGCATTTTGATTGGTTAATTAACAACTTGACCTATCCGGTCAAGTAACGTCTCGTGTGCATTCAAACTACATGTACATGGCAGATGTCGTATCGCATCGACCGTTTACATGTGACCGAAATAATAAGCTTACAGTGAAACTAAGTTGAATTTTACTTGCATTTGATAAAAATTCAACGAATTTATTTTTCATGCGTTATTATAATCACTACTGAGTAATACCGTAAATTCTGTATTAGAAGCCACATCCCTAATAGAAGTCGCACCCATTCTTTTTGAATAATTGAGAACCAAAAATTCACCATTTCTCATATGTTTAGATGCTCCAATAGAAGCTGCATCCTCGCTATTGCATTGTACCATTTTAATATAAGCCGCGGTTTCTAATACAGATTTTACAGTAATCAACAATTTCAACACTTCGAAAAGTAAGTTATTCACTTGTGAGCCGAAGCATGGCCGGATTGTGTTACCGCACCCACGGTACAGTACAGTACTTTTTTAGTGCTTGTTTTTATTTGAAACTCCAGTCAGAATATACTTTCCGTTACGAAGAAAAATAAAAAAATAAATGCATATTACGTTAAATATACCGAGTATTTTTTTTTCATGTGAACAGTTTTTTTGTGACATGACGTGACGCTTATCACTCTTCCCTGACATCTAAATTGGAGTTACGCTTATATTCAAAAGATTGTACGGTGTATTGTTTGTTTTGTGCAAGTGATTGCAATATGTACATAATAGAAACTGCACCCCGAACTTGAGCTGTTGATCCCAATTTTGTATTTGATACATTGTAATATAAACCGCGGTTTATAATAGGATTTTAACGGTAATAGCCAAATTTTTTGAGAGAAAACTGAAAATTGACTCAAATTTTTGTTTGTTGGCTAACAAATTAAGGTTAATTTCCAGAAATATTGATGAATATAAGAAAAAAAAAGAAAAGTTTAATACTGCCAAGTAAGTGCATATGTAGCATATATATAACATGCACACCACACATAAAAAGACTTACTTGACATAGTTGAGAAGACATTTAACCAGTAATTTGGGTTCATCCCAGTGAACTAAACCAACATTGTCATTACGATGCCTATCCTGGAAACTATCAGAGATCCAGATCCTCCGCAGATGGCTCTCCTGTCAACAAAAACATGGTTGCAATCTTAGATTTTAAGATTAATGTAATAAACAAGCAGCAATGGTAATTAATTTTGTTAAAGTTGCTTTCAATTCTGATTGTAATGGACATAGCTGAGATGAAGAGACAAACATCAAAGTTTTTCAAGACCATCATATCAAAATAACTCAATGCTGCATCGACATAATAAATAAATGTTCTTTGAATTCATTGCCGTTCATATAATTTCAATAAAGCAAGTATTATCATCGTACAAGTATAGGCATCATCTGTCATGTTTGGGTTAAATAACAGACTGACGAATGTGGGCGTGATATTGGCACAAGCTGAGTGGGTCCTGATGTGAGTCCCGACTAACGTGAACTGCTGTAATTCCTCTAGAAACATGATGGATTAATCATTCCGCCACGTGCTGAGATCCCGTAACATGGACGTAGCTCATGACATACACACGTAATAAAATATTAACAGTGAAACTGGATGTACAAGATAACCTGAGATAACCTATTATAATCCATGATAACTTACCACTACAGCATTCTGTGATAACCATTTTTCATCAAACTCTACAAGTATGCTAATGATATAGATTGCCTGATACTGTAGCTCCAATCTTATCACAGTGTTAGGACTGTCCGGGCGACTAATTGTCTAGAAATATTAACATAAGAGAGCTGTTAACTGCCTTTTATAGAGGTTAATTTTACAAAGTGTGCATGAGAGGTTGAAAGTATTGGATATATTTAATATGCTGAAGTAATTTCCAGACTTCTTACCTGTGGTTTAGTAAATGCTAAGTTAATGAGCCTCAGTGGATTTCCTTGTAAGATATCACGGAAAGGCTTGGCCTTGTCTTGTTTTAGAAAACTCTGCACATGATAAGGATGAACAAGTTGACAGAATTTGGTAAATTACCAGTGGATACAAATATGTTACATTAATGTGAATAACAAATATGAATATCATAAACAATAAAATAAAGTTCTAGGACGCGTTCATTTAGTAGTACTGTGCGAACAAACCGATGCAATGCTGAAGTTGGTTACAGAGTCGGATTTGTGTTTAGATCCGGATTCATTTTCAGATTTGGGTTTAAGTCACTGAAAGTATTCATCTAACAGTATTTTTCGTAAACCTTATAAATATGGTTTTCCAAAAAAAAATATTACAATTCACACCATTGTGGTATCATCTTTAACTTGCCTCATGCTAGATATTGCGCATGATTTTGGATTTTTACAAAAATATGACAAGTTTATAAAAAATATTTATTATTATACATACTGTATTTGTCACTAAGAAAAAAATATAACTTATTTTTCTTTTTGGTATTCACTTATATGTGTCTCTAGAACAAATGTTTTTAAAAGACGCAGAAAGAAGAAACCAAGAAATACTCCAAAAAAAATAAAAAAACAAAACAATTTATCTCAAATATGCTCTTGCCATTTACAGTAGTTGATTCATAGTACCAGTATATAAGTTGGTTTGATGAACTGAATTAAATTACCGTAAACATTCTGTTATAGTAAGGTTCCTTGAGATTATTTTCAGCCAGAAACAGATCAACTGTCTGTGTTGGATATCGCAATAAAAACTTCATGAGTGGTTCTCGGAATGGACTCCCAGACTGTGAAAAAATAAACAAATACACACTAGATCAGAATAAAAGAAACATTCACATTTATGGAAATCAGATACCGGTACATCAAGTGAAAGATTATCTCATCTATTCCGAAAGCTTTTATTGCGAATTGAGAAGGATGAATTAATGAGTGTTGGTACAGAATTCAAATTTTGTATCAACTATATTACCGGGCATCTGTGTACAAGTCAGGATATACAAGATAAATGGTATGCAAATTAGATACTTATGCACATCAATACAGCATAATTCTAACCAATTACATCTCAAAGTGAAGTGAACAAAACGAAAATATTGCGAATTAGCATGAACACTTATCAAATGTTGCTTGAGACAAACACTAACACATTCTTTTACAGACTTCCTCATAGTTACAGATACAATATTTTTATAAACCACTTTCATATTTAATCTGAGAAATGACATGGACCTTTAAAGACACCACTACATCAGGTGTTCACCAGAGATGCGTTCAGTAGCACAAAACGTTTTTTTTAATCATTTCACAATTTTTTAAACACTAAAAATTCACTACGTTTTGAAGCGCCTGTGAAAAACAGATCATTCAATTTCCTTAATTGTACCCTGCATTCAAATTGTTGAAAGCAACATGCCCTTTATATTACAAATAGTGCCACAATATAGCATGCTATTTGTGCAAGTGCAGCCTCACCTCCAGATACAAGTCTTTTTCAGCTTTCAGAGTGAGTTGCACTAAAGAATCGATCATCTTGTGAGAGGCCGCCGGTATAGCATGGAATATATTGATGATAGCCGAACAAATCTTCAGTTCTTGGCCATTAGTTTTGTTGCCAGCTTTCTGTGATGTGACAGAAACATCCATCCATTTCTTCAAATGAGCCTGGGTTTCATCAAAATGAAAATACATCAAATGCTACCACAACACAATAAAATGACAACAAAAAATGACAAAAATTGACACACGAGCTACAACATAGATGACTGAACAAATCTGAGAAAATGTTTAGTTCAAATGTTCACTCAGACAGGCCATGAACTTTCTCTCACTCACTCAGTTCATAACTCATACAAACCCTATTCAGTTCACATAAGCCATGCACTTTCTCTCAATCACTAACTCACTCACTCAGTTCACAACAGATACAAACCCTATACAGACTCGCTCACTAAATCACTCACTCAGTTCACAACAGATACAAACCCTATACAGACTCGCTCACTCACTTAGTCAGTTCACAACAAATACAAACTCACTAACTCACACAGGCCATGCACTTCTCACACAGCCCAGTATAACTCATACAATCCTTATACTGACTCACAGTACCCACTTATCACTGAGAGACAGCATCTGGCCAATATGATTCACATACACCACTCTCCACCCCACTCTCTTTAGTTAACAGTCTGATGTGTTTACTAACTCTCTCCAGCTGACAGTCTGATATGTGTACTTCTCCTGACATTCCTACTACACCTCTCCAGCTGATATTCCTACTACACCTCTCCAGCTGACATTCCTACTACACCTCTCCAGCTGACATTCCTACTACACCTCTCCAGCTGACATTTCTACTACACCTCTCCAGCTGACATTCCTAGTACCCCTCCCCAGTTGACAGTCCTAGTACCTCTCCCCAGCTGACATTCTGCCGTAAA